AGCCCCATCAGCAAGAATTACATTGTTTTTATCCCCAACTGCATCACAGACATATTTAATACTTCATTTGCTGTAGACAAGACATCTGCTTTAGAAGAAAGATTTAAGAATAGATCATTTTTCATACACAGAATGTACGTCAAATATTTCCTGATGTGTCTGTAAGTTGTGTATGTTTGTGAGAACCGTGTGGAGGAGTTGATGAGAGATATTTGGATTTCAATGCGCTTACTCTTGGGACAATTCAACTATGTGATCAGTTAGCCTTCTGTCACAGGCTCTTATTCTTAAACTTAAAAAACAAAAATGGATATTTTCAAAGTGCCCCTTAAATTTTAAAAAGAGCACTAGTAAAAACTGAAGGGACCCTCCCTAAAAAAAATGTTGAATGTTTGTAACTGGTAATGCATTGCTTCAATAAATGCTGTAATTCAACGTGTCCCCCCCCCCCCCCCCCCCCCCCCCCCCCCCCCCCCCCCCCCCCCCCCCCCCCCCCCCGGGATCACCGCCCCTGGGTAAGGGAAGCAACTTCCACTTGTTTAAAAAAATGTCAACAACAGTTTACGGCAAAATTTGTGATTGGCAATTTTGTTGCAGCATCAAATTTTCTGAAAATGTTGACCGCCAACCAAATCCGTGGAATTTTCTTCCACAAAATAGTTTATGGGTTTCCATTTTCCCCTTTAAATCATATGATTGTTCTCATGCTGAAGTACAATTTAAAACAGATCACTGCATTATTTTACTTACTAAGTGGCTGTCCAAGAAGACTAGCTGACCTTTTGAAGTCAAAAGAAGGCCAATGGCCTCTGTATCACCAAAGTAGTAAGAAACAGATGAAACACAGCTTGGCTTTCTGGGCTAAGCTCTTCTCTTGTTCCGCATACAAATGTGAGATTAGGAATACATGGAGGACAAGGTTACAAAGAAATCAGTCTTTTCTTTCACTTTTTTCCAGGGGAGGGGGGGGGGGGGTTATTTATGTATTATAGAGAAAGTAAAGACAGAGCTTAGTTCCTAATAATAAATTACGCATATTTGGGAAAATGCTTTGTAGTTACATGAAAAAAGTTTGATATTCAGAAGAATATCACCACTAGGAGTATTCATGTAGAAGAATTTAGGTTACCAAAAGATGAAGGTTTTATCACTTATGATAATTCAAGATATTTATTGAATAATAACCATAAAAACACACTAAAAACTAGAAATTTAATTCGTCACGAAGACGAATAAGGTGGTCTATCTAAGTCTTATGATAGAATTGAGAATGGGAGAAGTTATATAGACATGTAAACAATGATGATCATGATGACCATGATGATGATCATGATAGTAAAGGTGATGATGATGATGATAATGATAATGTTATATAATGATAACAACGATAATGATGATGATGAGCATAAGCATGATCCTGACATTTGATTGAAAAAATAAGGAAATATTTAGATAGCAAATTAGTCTCAGCTACAACATATTAAAATTTGGGAGAAAACTGTTGAATAACAACTGAGATACTGGTCAAAACACCTTGTTATGCAGATTCATGTTTTGAAAAAAGTGACCTCCCATAGACATAACACGCAAATATGACAAATTATGCATTGTCGCTATCAATGGAATATTTAACTATGATGACGTCATCGAAATGAAAAATGAATGTCATATTTGTGATAGAGAATTATCTCAGCTACAACATATCAAAATCTGAGAGAAAATCGATCACAGATAAGTGAGATAATCTCAATTAAACAAAGACAAAAATGACGTCATCAACAAAAAACATTTGTTTGAGTTTAGATGCCAATATGATGACTTTGTTTCACTTTGTACGAGTCAGGGTGGTATGAAATCATATCTACAACTCATGCTTTTTCCAACCATGATATAAAAATTGGGGGTCGATGGACTATCTGAAGAGCTATTTCAATTTTTAAAATGGCATGTTTTTGATGAAATTTGCATTATATTGCCTATAGCAGCACGCGCGGATTTTGAACTTTGACGCACGCTCACGGCCTTATGAAATATGAAGAGTGACTGAAATTGATGTAACTTGTCAATTACGCTAAGAGGAATCCAAATCATGTAAACGCGCAACGCGCGCGGGGACATGTACGGACGGAAAATTTTGAAATGCTTAAAATGACCTGATTCGTACTCTCGTTTAATAGTTAAGTGATTTTGAGCATTTTAAAATTTTGACGCGCGCGTACGTGCGCGTCATGACCTTTATGTGACCTTTGATGACATGACTTGTTGACCCTTGACTTGAAGTATATGTGATATGAATATGAATGACCTTTGCTTATGCATCATGAAGATATGATGGATAACGTGATTTCACAAAATGGCGCCTGGATGACGTCACGATGACCTGATGACCTTGAAAAGGTTACTGTCACGTCTCATGACAATGACCTATGACTGTGTCAAAATTGAAAGAAATTAACACAACCGATCTTGAGTTAACCGATGAACAAAAAACGGGGAGAAATAAAAATAAATAATAATAATACTAAATAAATAAAGAAAGAAAATTCTGACGAAAACAATAGGTGATCTGTTTTCAACAGACCACCTAACTAGAAATGTAATTCGTCACGAAGACGAATAAGGTGGTCTGTGTAAGTCTCATGATAGATTTGAGAATGGGAGAAATTATATATGACATGTAAACAATGATGATCATGATGAACATGATGATGATCATGATAGTAAAGGTGATGATGATGATAATGATAATGTTATATGATGATAAAAACGATAATGTTAATGATGATGATAATGATCATGATCATGATGATGTTGATGATGATCATCTTTAGACCATGATGATGATGATGGTGGTGACATTGATGATGATGATGATGATGATCATATTGATGATGATATTGATGATGATGAGCATGAGCATGATCCTGACATCTGATTGAAAAAAAATGAGGAAATATTTAGCATATAGTCTCAGCTACAACATTCTAAGATTTGGGAGAAAACTGTTGAATAACAACCGAGATACTGGTCAAAACACATTGTCATGCAGATTCATGTTTTGAAAAAAGTGACCTCCCATAGACATAACACGCAAATATGACAAATTATGCATTGTCGCCTTTAATCGAATATTTTACAATGATGACGTCATCTAAATAAAAAATAAATGACATACTTCTAGTAGAGAATTATCTGAGCTACAACATATCAAAATCTGGGAGAAAATCGATGACCGATAAGTGAGATAATCTCAATTAAACAAAGACAAAAATGACGTCATCAACAAAATACATTTGTTTGAGTTTAGATGCCAATATGATGACTTTATTTCACTTTGTACGAGTCAGGGTGGTATGAAATCATATCTCCAACTCATACTTTCTCCAACCATGATATAAAAATTGGGGGTCAATGGACTATCTGAAGAGCTATTTCGATTTTTAAAATGGCATGTTTTTGATCATATTTGCATTAAATTGACAATAGCAGTACGCGCGGATTTTGAACTTTGACGCACGCTCACGGCCTTATGAAATATGAAGAGTGACTGAAATTGATGTAAATTGTCAATTACGTTAAGAGAAATCCAAATCATGTAAACATTTTGAATTTGACCTTTTCCGCGCGCCGTGAGCGCGCGCAACGCGCGCGGGGACACGTACGGACGGAAATTTTTGAAATGCTTAAAATGACCTGATTCGTACTCTCGTTTAATAGTTAAGTGATTTTGAGCATTTTAAAATTTTGACGCGCGCGTACGTGAGCGTCATGACCTTTATGTGACCTTTGATGACATGACTTGTTGACCCTTGACCTGAAGTATATGTGATATGAATATGAATGACCTTTGCTTAGGCATCATGAAGATATGATGGATAACGTGATTTCACAAAATGGCGCCTGGATGACGTCACGATGACCTGATGACCTTGAAAAGGTTACTGTCACGTCTCATGACAATGACCTATGACTGTGTCAAAATTGAAAGAAATTAACACAACCGATCTTGAGTTAACCGATGAACAAAAAACGTGGAGAAATAAAAATAAATAATAATAAATAAATAAATAAATAAATAAAGAAAGAAAATTCTGACGAAAACAATAGGTGATCTGTCGAAAACGACAGACCACCTAATAATAGAAAAATACAGTATGGAACATGGAAAGGACCAGTTGAAAACTTTATACTTGTGAGGCCTACATTTACTCATACATACATGTATTAATTTGTTTATTGTGACCATGGTTTGATGTCATACAAATGAAACACATCATAAAAAAAGGTTATACATACCAGTGATACATACATGTAGTACATGTCAATAAACAAAAAGTAGAATGACAGGGAAAGCGTAAAGAACTGTAAGAGGTTTATCACATGCATTGTACATGGATGTTGTATAATACACTCATACCTGACATCTTCATGTATAGGCTGACATGACTTCATATGAATTTGAACTAACATCAAATATTCACCTCCGTAAGCCTGACAGTTCATCACATGCTCAGTTTATGTGTACACAATGAAACACCCATGATTCCCTGCCCATGTTTTGTTTTGGCTTTCCCCTTTTTTTCAACAGAAATATTTCCTCCAACCTGTCTTGTGCTCTCTTTTCTTACATTCAATGGATTGGATGCTATCAAAGATTTAAGAAGACTAGTCTGGCCTCACCATTTTGTAAATACTGTGCTAATTGTTAAATAATACCTGTGAGTGGCCTTTTGACAAAAGAACAAGTTTCATGAAGAGGCTGACGAAATGTGAAAGAAGAGATGTATCATTGTGAAGCAGTGGAACTTCAGGCTGTAAGTTGTCACAGAATTTTGAAGTTATTGTTACATTATTTTGCCTAAATTATTACTAATATTTCAATACGTATTTGCTCTATAAATGTAATTATGATATACATTTACTGTAGCATATTTTATGTCAGACTATACAATGGAAAATTAATCTTATTTTTGTATCAATATTTTCTTCTTTTTGCCTAGAATATTGCCAAGATGACAGCTGTAGTCCTACGTGTGTATAATTGAAGATCATCATAGCCTACATAGTACATACAGTAGATGACATTCAGAAAAAGGGTAAGTACACATAGATCTATAGATTTATTTGACTCTCCTGTCTCCCTCTTGTTTCCTTCATCTCTTAGTCACAGTCACTTTCTCTCCCCCTTCTTTTATCTTTTGGTCACTTTACCTTTTGTATGATGTGTTTCAGCTGGATAACGTCAGGGCTCCATATTAACTTTTTTTATTTTTTATACTGGGAATCTAGATTGAAAAGTTAAGGTCTGTATATATTGGCCCTCTATTTAATTCAATTTTTTTTCAGGGGGGGGGGGGGGGGAGGGGGAGTAAGGAGAGGAGATCATAGTTAAAATTCAGAGGCTAATGCACACTGTAGATCCCTAGATTACAGGTATGTGTGAGGTCAAGGCTTGTACAGCAGGTCGGCAAGGGAAGTCAATGATTGATGTTTCTAAGAGTTGAAGTGCTCCCTCTTTTGTTGTACTTGAACCACTCTTGTCCTTGAGTACTATCAGAGCTCTTGAACTTGTCTTCATAGTCCTATTTAGTCCTATTTGGAAATGCCAAGTAGTATACCAGGTTTTCGTCTTACTACTTGTAGCTACTTGCGCCCGCTTACAACAAACAATGCCTAATCGGTGACCATTGGTCCCCCATGATCCTCTTTTTCTTATGTTAACTGAGAGCTGAGTTGATGAGATAACCACCTGTCCAGTGACCTTGCAGGGCGCTCTAATCCCTCCTGTAAACTATGGCAGATAAGCTTTAAATCATTTTCTCTTTTCTCTTTCTCTTAACCCATACACGTACATAGGATCCTTTTTCATGATTTACACAACGTTTGTCTTGTGAATGAATAGTATTTTCAATTTTGTTAATGACTTGGAGATTGTAATTTCAAATTAAAAACAAAGAAATTAGTTTAGTGCCCCTCACCCTTAAATTTGTTTAAATTTGTGAGTCTGGTGTTAGATCCTTGGGGCCCATACCCTGTTGGTGTTGCGCCCAGGTTAACGCCCTTCTGGCTCTCAAAAGGTAATTTATTCTCATACATGTAGATGTTCTACTAGGTGAATACTATCTGCGTCTGCTCAGCGCTATAAGGGCATAAGTACATATACTTGAACAGAGGGTTAATGCCCTTTTGGCTCTGACTATCCTAGTTTTTCACTGTCAGGTGTTGGTGTGTTGCCTGATGTTTGAATCGTTCTTAGTAAATCAACACTTCGCAGGTGCCGGATCAAATACGGGCAAATCTTTCTCTAAACCTCCAGAGTAAACTTCCTCCTTTTCGTCAGTCCCAATGCACAGTTGAACGTGAGGTAAACTGCCTTTCCTTTGCCATAAAAGTTCCCGGAAGGAAAGTCAAAAGAGGTTCTAAGCAAACAGGTTCCTTTGATAATAATTTCACGGGTATTTCCGGAGTTTATGCAAAATTTTGGAACGAAAGCATTGCTACAAATATTCATCAATATGATTTTAATTTGACATTGGTTGAATATTGATTTTCTTAATTTATAGATATACTGTATATACACTCATTTTGAAACCTGTGCCTGCATGTACAGATTAAACACATTGGAAAGGCTTTGTTTAATCAGTTAAACTGATGGAGTAAACTGCATCTCATTTTTGCATAAATTTCTTAAATTTGAAAGTTGATTCAGCCGAATCAGGTCGATTTGTCCCCTTTGAACAGATTGCTCATAATTCTTGTAGAAGAAAAGAAAGACCTGAAAATACTTATGCTTTTGGACATTCAAAACCCATACATCCATATATATCTACACAGGATTTGTCCCAGGAAAATAAGGAAGGAATCGCAAGCAAGGCAAATATGAGGAGGCTATCTTACAGCACCTCTGTAAATAATTGGTCCTTAGCTGGCACGTTTAGCTCCAATAAAATAAATCCATGTTCCTGCAATTCCCTTTTGTGATATCCTGACAAATATCATGGTATGAATGAAAAAGGCTGAGCGGAAGTTTGAAGACGTTAACAATAATGCAGACCTAAATAATATATACATTGTATGGAGGGGTGGTGAAAGGGGGGGGGGGGGTGGAGAGGGAAGTAATGGACAAAAATGAAAAGAGTCAAGGTTTAAATGGTTATTTTTTTTTAATTAGATGTGGATAGAAAAGGATAATTTTTCTGGCCTTATTCCCCAGGAGAACACTAATTTTATCTAGTCAGATGTCTACTTTTCTTCAAATTTTATTCTTGGACAGGAAGTGAAAAGATAAGTGATGGACAAGCAAGGTTAGAACTTGGAAATATATGTATTTTGATAAAAAATTAATGCTGATTACAATTACATCAAGTGCCTACACAGACTCTGGTTAGTTATAATGATAAATGAAGGGGGTTAAAGACTTTAATAATAATAAAAAATAATAATGATAGGCATTTATATAGCGCCATCTATCTAGACAATTCTATTCCGAGGCGCACAAATTAACTATTACTCCGGCTTTAGCCTAGCTGCCATTACAGCCCTCTAGCATTTCATGGAAAACATTCCTGCCAGGTACCCATTTACCCCACCCGGGTCAAGTGTGGCAAATGAAGATTAATGCCTTGCAAAAGGACATAAGTGCCGTGTTGGGGATTGAACCACTACCTTCGAATTTCAAGTCAAGTGCTTAAACCACTTGACTACGACACTTCTACTTTATTCATTGGTGAATGCCATTTGGGTTAAGACTGGAAATAGTATCGAGTGAACTGTGCCTGTACTTGCACATTATTTGCACATATCTGGGCTACTACCCCAAGGGTTCAACTTCACTTTAATGAGATAATGTGTAACTGAAAACTACTAGTAAACTACTGGTAGACTGTAAAGAAGATCGCCCTCTGTACAGTCGTGGTTACTTTACCTGACTGCTAAGAAAGCATTGTTAATAAGCAACCAGAGGACCAACGGCTTTAGGTCCTCTCCGAAAGACCTGGTAATGAGGATTAATGCCTTACCAAAGGGCACTAGTGCATCACCTTGGTTTCGAACCCGGGTCGCCTGATTACGAGTCCACTGCTCTACCAACTGAGCTATCGCGTATATGAAATGTTCTTGTAGCATTGTGTGAACAGACCCTAAATATCCATGTTATTGCCAGGTATTTGAGCTATGACCCCAAGGGTTCAACTTCACATTAATGAGATAATGTGTAACTGAAAACTACTAGTAAATTGGTAAGACTGTACAAAAAAAAAATCGCTCTCTGTACAGAAATATTAAATGTTCTTGTAAGCATTGTGTGAACAGACCCTGAATCTCCACGTTATTGCCAGGTATTTGGGGTATGACCCTGGGGGTTGAACTTCATGTTATTGAGATAAACATGGGTGTGTTTACTTTCTCTATTCCCTGTCAATACATTGGCCTGCCACGTCCTGGTGCTGATAAATGTGTTTCCTCTAAATTCACAATGTATACAGTGGAAAGTTTGCTCGTATTTTATGATGGCTTTGGGGTGTTGAAGGAAAGAGGGTGGTAGAGAGAGAGAGAGAGAGAGAGATAGAGAGAGAAAGGGGGGGGGGGAGAGACAGAGAGAGACAGAGAGAGACAGACAGAGAGAGAGAGACAGAGAGAGAGAGAGAGACAGAGAGGCAGAGAGACAGAGAGAAGAGTGAGAGAGAGGGGAAAGGGGGGGGGGGGGGGGTGGAGGGATACAATGAGGGGGGAAATGTATCTCCCCTCCATTCACAATGTATACAGTGGAAAGTTTGCTAGTATTTTATGATGGCTTTGGGGTGTTGAAGGAAAGAGGGTGGTAGAGAGAGAGAGAGAGAGATATAGAGAAAGAAGAAGGGGGAGAGACAGACAAAGACAGAGAGAGACAGAGAGAGACAAACAGAGAGAGAGACAGAGAGAGAGAGAGAGAGAGACAGAGAGGCAGAGAGACAGAGAGAAGAAAGAGAGAGGGGGAAAGGGGGGGGGGGGGGTGGAGGGATACAAGGAGGGGGAAATGTATCTCCTTTCTATTCACGATGTATACAGTGGAAAGTTTGCTCGTATTTTGTGATGGCTTTGGGGGTGTTGAAGGAAAGAGAGGGGTGGGAAAGGGGAGGGGGGAGGGAGGGAGGGAGGGAGGGAGGGAGGGAGGGAGGGAGGGAGGGAGGGAGAGGGGGGGGGGAGGGTGGATGGATACAAGGAGGGGGAAAATGTATCTCCTCACCTTTCATATTGTAAACAGTTACTATAGGCGTGTCTGCACTATCTCGAGATTGCCAAATATCCAGCTATTTGAATTATCCCGATCGCAAACTATCCAGCTTATTTGCGTCTTCATTAGACCGAAGTAGCAAATTAGCTGGATAGTTGGTCGGGATAATATCCCAAGATATCTCGGTCTAGTTTGCGGTTTTCCGTGTTTACTCGAGGTCAGTGGTTGCGAGGTCAGCGCTGAGCGGTATAGATCGCATGTGCGAACCGGAAATCGTTGTGCATGATGGGATCGGGATAATTGACTCCGTACTTCGGTCTAATGAAGACGGTCGCAAACTATCCCGCTAGTTCGGAAATAGAAGGATATTTTGCAAACTAGACCGAGATATCTTGGGATATTATCCCGACCAACTATCCAGCTAATTTGCCACTTCGGTCTAATGAAGACGCAAATAGCTGGATAGTTTCGATCGGGATAGTTCAAAATAGCTGGATATTTGGCAATCTCGAGATAGTGCAGACACGCCTTATGTGGTATAAGTTTGTCCATTTTTTACGATGGTTTTGAGCATTTGAGGTGTTGACGGAAGGGTGAGTGACTGTAAAGCAGTGAGAAAGAGAGAAAGAGAAACAGAAAGAGAAAGAGATGTAGAAAGAGAGAGAGAAGAAGAGAGAGAAGGAGGAGAAGAAGAAGGCGTAGGAGGAAGAAAGAAAGAAGGAAAGACAGAAAAGAAAAAGAAAGAAAAACAAAATCTTTCTTTATTCCTTGTGAGATTTTTTTAACAGGGATATTTCTTTCCTTGACTATTCATGTTTGTGCAAGGTCTCCCTCTTGTGTCAAGTATTTGTCAGTGTGCCAGCTCATAAATCATGCAAATCTCAT